GGTGGAACGGGAGATTCGCATCATGGATGTTCAGCCGACAAATCTGCGGCAACTGTGTGATGCCATCATGTCAATATGGACCAAGCTCTCTGAGGAATGCTTCCAGCACCTTGTTGAATCTATGCCACGAAGAATTGAGGCAGTTCTGAAGGCAAAAGGGGGTCCAACCCGTTACTAGCATGGTGTACCTAATAAAGTGGCCGGTGAGTGTAAATGTTTAGTACATGTCCGAGCATTACTCCAGTGAGTTTACACATATTTTTCACACAAGAAGACCCAATTATACTGAAGCGGGATATTCATAGTGTGTGTACAGTATATATATATGTATATATATATATATATATATATATATATATATATATATATATGGGAATATCAACAGGTATCACAATAGTGTGTTTAATCAGATGTTTTTGTATTCCCAAAGCTGGATGCATGTGTAGAAATGTGTTTGTCTAGCTCTTGGTGAACAGAGGTGTGCATTAAATGGTTACAGTTCTATCTTTAGTATTTCTGTACTACTAGTATGGTGTGACGTCTGTCTGAGGTTGCCCTCACTTCTTACCTTCTAACCTTCATACCACTACTGACTCCTTTGGGTCAGCTGATTGCACATACAGCATCTGATTGGTCGGCACACCAACGCAAGATGTTAGGATCCATCTAGCAAAGTTAGCTAACAGCAGAAATGACACTTCTCTAAAATCTATCCAAACATTATCACAAGCTACCTTCATATGCAAGAGATTACATCAAGGAAATAGACTAAACGTCACAGAAACACAGTTTTCTGTTTAACGGCTGGTCCCACAAAGTGAGTGGATTTACAGTATTTGCTCTGTGGGACCCTTCTGCAATGATGTATTGTATATGAATGACATTGTTGACCTTAGCATCAAATAACATTTTATTATATTCCAGACTTTGCATTTACTCATCAACCACATCACGTTCCCCTTCTCCTTTAAAATGTTAAGCATACTGTATTTTCCAAACTTTTGAAAAAACATCATCATCAGTGTAGGTCTACGAGCATTGTGCTTGTAGGGAGTGGTGGGGCTGTTCCCTCATGCTTCATTGACTGAACCTCCACTGAAATTACTAACATGCAGCAAAATGAACCAACTTTTCAGGACTCTTGAGTCCCACACAGTGCAGATTTATTTTTAAACCATGTAAAGTTTCAAGTTCTCTTTCTTACACAGGGCCAATCTCTTCATATCCCACTCTTTTATGCATTTCCTATTGTTGCATTCGTAACCTCAAAAAACCAGAGAGTCGTCCTCTCTTGAGATGATAGATATTACTTTACTGCATCTGGAGTTTTTTGAGAGAGAACACATCCTTTTTTATTTCTTCTTTATTATTTGCATTACCTTATGCCTGAGTATAATACAGGGCACACATTGAAGTGGCTGTCTGATGTGTATTGTTGCAAATGGATTTCTTTTGCACAGATAATGTGATCAAAGCAGTCGGCATCATAATGCTGTACATCCCAGAGGCACAACCAAACCCTCAGCACAGCCCAGAGGAGACCAGCAAGGACAAAAAAGCCAGCTCAGAGAATGGTGAGTGGGCCTGAGGGGAGCTTTATGTGTGTTTGTGTTGCTGTGGGTGCCTTTGTCTCTCCATTTGTCTCTCTGGGGATGCTGTCTAAAGGTCACACAGACTTTATCTTTTGATCTGTGATTCTCTGTTCAAAACATCATTGAAGCTGCAGCATCTGCTTCCTGACTCTGACTCTTTAGACTTTCATTTAATGAGGCACTGGGCCCACCACCTTTCACCTTCACCTATCCTCATCCTTTTATTGTTGTCTTTCTTTCTTTCATTATTATTATTATTATTATTATTATTATTATTATTATTTATTTATTTTTGTCTTTGTCCCTTTCTGTTCTTTAAACCGCCATCATCTCTCTCCCTCCAACTCCAAACAATCTCTTCCAGTCCATGCCTACTTTCCCATTGACTTCTGTTTCCAAAATCATTCTAACTTATTCCAAAGCCACCTCCTCCTTTGTCACCATTATCTTTTAGAAATTTATCTTACCTTTCCTCTATCACTGAAGGCCTACAATCATTGAATCCACTGAAATCAAATACGATAGGAGAGCCAAATGGAGCTTCCTACAAGAGAGTGTTTCTGTAGGAGATGGTGTTTCAGTGTTTAAATTACAAGTGAAGCAGATCAAATTATCTTACATATTAACATATTTTATAGGTCACAGAAGAAGAGAAATTACCAATCCAGACTTGTGAAAGAGCATCATTATTTTTCTAAAGCCCCATCAGCTTTAAAGTTTTTATTTATTTATTTATGATAGCTCACTTTTTTAAAGCAGATATTGGATGTTGCAGTTGAATTTTTTTTAGATATTACTTATATACCCTTTTTTTAATGCATATATTTCAACAGTGTTGGTTACACTACCCACCAGTATGCAAACTATGCACCAAATATCTTTTTAACTCCATGCATGTGGCCTGCAGCTTTGTGCTGGGTAACACAACATGTACTTTAGGCCTATGCAAATATGCAGGTATAAAGCCACCACAGAGGCCCAGTAAGATGAATTATGGGCTAATAGAGAATATTGAAGCTTTATCCACTGTGCTTTACAGCTCTGGGTTGGCTTAGCCAGCTAAACAGTCCATTTAACACTGCAGGGCCAACTCTGCCCAATAGCACCTGTGTGGATACAGAGTTAAAGCACTGTATGACTGATGGCAGTGCCTAACGTTCAGATCGCACACAGTTGGCTTGCTGTATAGAGGATAAGGAAGGCAGTGCTTTGAGTTTATTGAAGGTCATGAGATGGGAAACACCAAAAGGATGTGGAGTAAAGTTTGTGCAAGCACAAACATGAGCCCCTGCAAGCTGTGGGGCAAAAGCACACTACACTCTATCAATGTTTCTCTTTCATGTGTGCGGGGCAAAGCTTTGACATTTGCCATTTATCACCTGAGGTAAAGCACAAAATACCTGTAGATGATAGCTTGCAACTGCATAAGAAATAGTTTAAAGGAAAGATTGCAGGTTTGAGATAGATGGCCATACCAACTGTTGATCTAAACATGCACACATTGTTTATTTAGCGTATGCAATCATCTGCGTCAGCCAGGTCAACTCCAGGGACTACTGGTGTCTTCTGCAAGGTTCTGTCACTTCCCTACAGTTCAAGTACTTTAACTTTTTTCTCTCTACTTCTTCTACCATTTCTCTCACACAGACTGCCTTGCCCTACTTTTCTGCATTCACCAACCTCTAATTACTCTGATGGCTGCAAAACGCGATTTGCATTTTTTACAGCTTTCAAAAAACTCCAAGCCAGCAGTGGGAAATATTACACACTCTTACACACTGGTGATGAACAAGTAAGTTTGCTAGGGGTCTGAGGTTGAAATCCCACTTGAAAACTTTCCAAGTATTGCAGTACATGATTTCCTTAATGGGCGGCACGGTGGCACAGTGGATAGCGCACATGCCTCACAGTGAGAAGGTCACCAGTTCTACCAGTTGGGCAGGGCCTTTCTGTGTGAAGTTTGCATGTTCTTTCTGTGCATGAATGGGTTCTCTCCAGCCACTCTGGCTTCCGTCCACAGACCAAAAACATGCTCATTAGGTTAAATCGTGACTCTAAATTGTCCTAAGGTTTGAGTGTGAGTGTGACTGGCTGTCTGTCTCTCTTTGTGGCCCTTGACTGGCAACCGATTCAGGGTGTACCCCGCCTCTTGCCCAATGACAGCTGGGATAGGCTCCAGCCCACCTGCGAAAGGGGTAAGCGGTATAGAAAATGGATGGATGGATTTCCTTAATCCTAACCATGCACTGTGATTCGGGTGGGGACAGCCCAAAGAGGCAATGTGGGATCCCCTTTCCATGGGCTCACCACTTGTAGGAGGGGCCAAAGGGGTCAGGTGTCGTAGGATTTAGGCAGTAGCTGAAGGTAGGGAGCTTGGCGGTCCAACCTCGGCTGCAAAGGCAAGCTCTATGGACCTGGAATATCACCTCTCTGGCAGAGAAGGAGCCTGAGCTGTTGTGCGAGTAAGAGAGGTTTGGGCTAGATATAGTTGGACTCACCTCGACACATACCTGGGCTCCAGAACTAGTCCTCTCTAGAGGGTTTGGACTGATTTCCACTGAGGCACCATGTAGGGGTGGCAATACTTATTGCTCCCTGGCTCAGTGTCTGTACGATGGGGTTCAACCCTGTGGACAAGTCATTTATGGTTGATATTGAACCTATAAAATACACTGAAGTTAAATCAGTTGTTTGTGGAAACCCATTTTATTTTGTGATTGTGTTCTGAATAGGTATTCACACATAGTGCTTAAATTACCCTCATGTCACAACTGTGTATGTTACCAGAGACAGATGTTTTAGTTAGCCCGGCGAGTTCAGTTCTCAGAACGCTATTGCTAACAGAAACTGTGTGCTTCAAGTTTAAGTTCTTCAGCTCTTTCCCTGTTGGATAATTATTGGCATTGCCTTTCTACTGTTTAGGATGTTGTGTTAAGTTCTTGCTGCTAAAACCATCCCATTTCCTAGCTGTTTCATAACAAAAGGCACCCCAACAGCACAATGTAAGGGAACTTTCATTGCAAAATAGAAAAAGGATGCGTTCATCATCGCTTCTACATTATGTTACCTTAGCTTATTACCGCCACATTTACACACTGATGGAGACAGAGACTGCTATGCAAAGCACCATCAGTTTTGACTAATCCCATTCATATGCCACTGGGCACAACCAGCAGGGCAGGTTGGTGTAAGGTGTCCAAGGACAATTTGGCATGTGGACAAAAATGTTTAATTTAGGGATTGTCTAAGTTAAAACCTTGTAGGTGGTATCCCCAAGCTCACCCTTCTTTAGTACGGTTGTGTGTGTGCGTGTGATTGGGGTGTGGTCTGTTGAGCTGCAGGCAGTCTGGTCAGGTGACCTGCTGTAGCCAGGTGAGCAGAGGTGTGAAGAGGGGGAGGGGGGCAGATGGAGAACAATAGAGGAGCAGGAGGAAATGTTTTCGGAGAGATTTGGCTGGTATGGTACAGGGAAGCCGGGCCTCTGATCTCAAGTGAAGAAACCCAGGATGCATCTAGAGCTAAAGGTAATCCTCAACCCACCCTGACATTGGACGTTGAATGGTGGAACTGTCAGAGTTGGGCTCAGAGGGAGAATTCCAAGGACTGGTGAGTCTCCCACTTTTGGATTACTTTTTTTGGATCCTTTTTTTTTGCAATGCATTTCTGACATTTCTTTTTGATAGATAATTCTGTTTTTGGTACCATGAAGGACTATTTTTTGTTGGACTAGGGTGGCTGGATCAGGACCATACCTTGAGAATTTCTGTTGTCTTGTTCTTTTCCAAAGGGAATCGGACACTGAACAGAAAGAATGTAAAAGTTGGGACTCATTCTTTTGGTTTTGATTACTTTGGGGGTTAAACTGATGATTTTGTGTTGGGGTAGGGGAAGTGTGGGAAGGAAGATTTGTGTGTAGTTTTTTTTTTTTTTTTTTTTGGGGGGGGGGGTCTTTGAATTAAAATTGGTGAACCGTGTCTTCTGTGGTGATATATATACTTTCAGGGGTATCCAATAGGAATGAAACTATAGTGTGTAGTAGCATCAGACGCTTGCGCATAGCTCAGTTTTAAAGAAATTAAAGCTGATTGGTATTGTGTAGTGTGCATAAAGAAATAAGCTATTTAGACCAAATTGTTTTTTGTATTGGGCTGTTAACATGTTTATTTTTGCTTTAAGGATGGGCTTTTTTAAATGAGGGGGTATGTGGCTTCCAGTGATTTTGCCACCAACCTCAAAAGGTTACTCAAGAAACTGCAGTTTTTAGCACCTATGCATTGGCTTCATCAGATCGTTTATAAGGGCCCAAAGACGAGCCTCTGTATATAAGGCACATGCTGCAACCGGTGGGTTCACCCATCATCATGTATCACAAACGAATCAGTGAAGTAACATCAAGAGATGATCTGACAGTTTCCTTTCAGTTGTAGCAGCTGTCCAGTAAGGATGATGACAAAAAACTTTATCTAACTGAAGTCACAAAATCAGAGTATCCGGACATCACAAGAGAGAATCCACGGACTAAAACCATCACTTTTCTCATTACCCAAGCACTTATCATTTCAACTGACAGCTCTGCTTACCTAGGGAAAAATGTTAAACCCTAAATAATTATGTTTTGGACCCTCATTGTTGCATCATTTGCTGCCCTGTTGCATGACTTTTTTTTTCAGATAGTCTTTTATCTGTCCCCCTATTTCAACATCTTCCTCATCATCCCCCCCTCCTGCCTCATCTCTCTCTTATTGTTTCCATCTCTCTAACTCCTTTGATAAAACATCAAGGCACACTTCCTCAAACAAAACATTTGTGGGTGTGACTGCAGTGCACTGATGTGAGAATTAAGTTTTGTGCGGATGGTTTAGGTGTCCTTATACATTTTGTGTCCCTAAATGTGCATTCTGAACCCTCACCTTAGATTTGCACTCTAAATCTCACTGTAAGCAGTTTCTGGACACTGAAGCAGCACTGAGGTGAGGTGACATAATGTAATGTTCACAGATTCAAACCACAGGACTGGAGTTTGATACCCCCGTGATACAGATACTCTGTGCTGACTTCTGTTGAGAGACTGACCTCTTTTTGACACAGGGGTAAGTTGTTGACCCAGAAGCAGATTTGCAAACAAAAGCAAGTTCAAAACTTTAATTAAAAAAAATGCTAAACAAATCAAAATCACACCCACTCAAATGGAAAGAAAAGCTCAAATGCTAGCAATAAATGTTTCTTTATCTATTTCACAGGTCAAGCTAAGGATTTCAACAGAGGACCTCTTCTCAGGACAAGGAACAATGGCGTCCTGCTGCCAGCTCCCCACCTATATAACCTGCTGATTGCTGCTCTGCATCAGCTGCACACAGGTGTGCTGCCTCTGTGGTCATTAGGGGAGGTGGAAACTCAAAACACAGAGGCCAACAGGCAAACCTAAAAACAACCAAAAAACTAGATCCAATCAACAGGAAAAATCTACTCATGGAGGTGGGATTGTGACACTTTTAGAATTACATAACCTGCATTAGTTATGTGAATAAATTTGGCGTGCTGTTTACAGTTGTGTCTGACCTCATGATTATTTGTGCGCACTGGTTGTCTCGCTAGTCTTTTTTTAAGGCCATTGTTGTAGTTAGAGACATTTTAAAGGGCTCATTATTTGTTTCTTTGGGTGAAACAGTTAACCAACTACATAAGATTACACATCCAACTGTTGTGGAAATGCATGTAGTACGCAGCAAAATCAATGCACAGGAGACAGGATGAGATCTGAAGAGCACCCTCGGCGGCTTTATTGTACAGATAAAGAAATCAGTACAGTTGACACACAGAGTCTAGACCAGAGTCTTCGGAGGTGCCCCGAGTTCTCCTTTCCCTCACTCTTTATGCTGGTGAGTGTGTTTGTTAACACAATAGATGTACACTCACCGGCCACTTTATTAGGTACACCTGTCCAACTGCTCGTTAACACTTAATTTCTAATCAGCCAATCACATGGCGGCAACTTAGTGCATTTAGGCATGTAGACATGGTCAAGACAATCTCCTGCAGTTCAAACCGAGCATCAGTATGGGGAAGAAAGGTGATTTGAGTGACTTTGAACGTGGCATGGTTGTTGGTGCCAGAAGGGCTGGTCTGAGTATTTCAGAAACTGCTGATCTACTGGGATTTTCACGCACAACCATCTCTAGGGTTTACAGAGAATGGTCCGAAAAAGAAAAAATATCCAGTGAGCGGCAGTTCTGTGGGCGGAAATGCCTTGTTGATGCCAGAGGTCAGAGGAGAATGGCCAGACTGGTTCGAGCTGATAGAAAGGCAACAGTGACTCAAATAACCACCCGTTACAACCAAGGTAGGCAGAAGAGCATCTCTGAACGCACAGTACGTCGAACTTTGAGGCAGATGGGCTACAGCAGCAGAAGACCACGCCGGGTGCCACTCCTTTCAGCTAAGAACAGGAAACTGAGGCTACAATTTGCACAAGCTCATAGAAATTGGACAATAGAAGATTGGAAAAACGTTGCCTGGTCTGATGAGTCTCGATTTCTGCTGCGACATTCGGATGGTAGGGTCAGAATTTGGCGTCAACAACATGAAAGCATGGATCCATCCTGCCTTGTATCAACGGTTCAGGCTGGTGGTGGTGGTGTCATGGTGTGGGGAATATTTTCTTGGCACTCTTTGGGCCCCTTGGTACCAATTGAGCATCGTTGCAATGCCACAGCCTACCTGAGTATTGTTGCTGACCATGTCCATCCCTTTATGACCACAATGTACCCAACTTCTGATGGCTACTTTCAGCAGGATAATGCGCCATGTCATAAAGATGGAATCATCTCAGACTGGTTTCTTGAACATGACAATGAGTTCACTGTACTCAAATGGCCTCCACAGTCACCAGATCTCAATCCAATAGAGCATCTTTGGGATGTGGTGGAACGGGAGATTCGCATCATGGATGTGCAGCCGACAAATCTGCGGCAACTGTGTGATGCCATCATGTCAATATGGACCAAGCTCTCTGAGGAATGCTTCCAGCACCTTGTTGAATCTATGCCACGAAGAATTGAGGCAGTTCTGAAGGCAAAAGGGGGTCCAACCCGTTACTAGCATGGTGTACCTAATAAAGTGGCCAGTGAGTGTATATTAGTGAGCAAGGCCCTGCTTACGTTAGCAGTGGCACTCTTTTTCCCTGAGTTTATGCACAGTGGACTTAGTGCAGTCGAAGAAAAAGCAAAGTTCATGACTTTATACCTTTGGGTCACCTCCACAAAGCTGACCTGAAACAACAGGGTGAAGACAAGTTGTGGGTTTCACTTCCACCCAGCAACACTCCAGAAATGGGTCGTGTTTAAGGATGAGGTCTCAGGAAGACATATTTGAGTTGGTGCATCTTAATTGAGAGCCAAGATTATGTGACTGCACAGTTAATGCTACTTCAGTTCTTGCAGTTTAACCTGTATGACCACAAACGTGCAGTCAGTGTAGGGAAAAACTAAAAACACAATAAAGAGATCTGTCTGCCTGCCTGGCCCTGTAAAGACAGTTCGAACAGAGACACTAACACCAAAAAGAGAGAGAATATACAACTTAAGTTTCCTTTGTATGGATTTCCGAGTGTTATTGAAAGCAACGAGGAGAGGTTGAAATATCGGCTGTGTGGTAACATCCTATCAGCAGAGAGTATGAAACCCAACAAGCTCAAAAGACACTTTGAGAAAACACACAAAGAACATGTTGGCAAACCAATATCCTTTTTCAGAAAGAAAGTTGCTGAGCTGAATAAGGAGCAAGTGCACTTTAAAAAGGCTGTAACTGGTAAAAAAGGGTAAAAATTGAACATTTTCTTTAGACATTTATTGGTTGCAAATTGACCAGAAAATTCCAGAAGTAAAGAAGTAAACAAAAACAAAGTTGTAATATAATTAAATTTTTACAATGAGGACATTAGAGATGTAGATCTACAAACCAGAAGTTATAGTTTTTGAGAATGATTATGTGTAACATATAAAATGATGTATCTGGGGATAATGGATAATTTAGTCTAAAATAAGTAAGTCATCATGTGACATCATGACTCAACAGCAGGGTAAAAACTGGGGTTGAACAAGCATGCACAAACTGCCCATTAGCCTGCCTTTCTTTATGTTGGACTTATTTTGTTGCAAAATCATTTTATATTACTAATTTAATGACAGTGTGGTGCTAACCTGCTAAAAATGAGTTTTTAGTTATTAAGAAACTTGTACCAAAACATCACTTTAAAATGCAATCCAAATTACTCACTGTTGCACAGGAGTCACTGTGCTCTTCTTAGCTTTGCTTTCAGACAGGCAAGCTACTGACTGAAAAAAAAATTCTCTTACAATTATTAACCTTGATAATATATCAGTTTTATACCCATAAATGTTGAGATTTTACTCTCAGAAATTTACAGCCGTTGTCCTCTTTAATATACCCTTAATACTCATAACTATTTTGGCTGTTTATTTTTAGAGTATAACCAGTATTGGCTGTTAATTAATCTTTCTCTCCTAACATATGAGTTACAAATGTAGAGAAATGAAGAACAACCACCAACAAAATGAAGCTGAAAAGGACAACAGCCTGTAAAGGTTTATACATAACCTGAGATGTCACACTGCAGTCAGTGCATTTAATGAAGGAAACAAACTGACAGCTCTGCCTTGCAAGTACAGCTCAGACAGAGTAAAAATAACACGTAAACAGTCTGCCTGCTCAGATATAGTAGACCTGTGTGGAAAAACTGCTTTAATGATCAGCATATAAAGAGGCTACAGAGCAGTTTGCATGTATTTTCTAATATTTTGGAAATGTCATACTTTTAATAGTAGATAATACAATTTATTCAACACAAATAATGGTTACATTTAAATACAAAATTAGCTGTTTCATTAGCTTTTATGATGATGCCGGTAAACGAGAGAGAATTTTGCAGATCAGCCAATCACATCTTTTGAAAGAAAGTGACATACCGTTAATGAACAATTAGTAGCCCAGGCGTTCATTTTGCAAAATCGATGTAGACTCGGGGCATTTAAAATAGACCAGGCGTCTACTGGTAACAGGCTTTATTTTATTCTGGCACTGGCCAGCACTGGGCCATTATGATTTTTATTTTTTTTTGGCAATAGGTATACAAGGCATAACAATATACTGTAGCAGGCACTTCTTGCATCAACTGTACTGTCACCCACCATGTCAAACCAGACAGCTGTTTCGTACATGGCGATGATATTCTTTGTGGTGATCTTCTTACTCTGTATCTGCTGGCCGCAGTAGATGACAAAGTTTACAATCTAATCAATAGGAGCATCTCTCTGTGCAACAGTTGTTTTTGTCCTAAGAGAAAAGTTGTTGCGCCGGAGGAATCTGAAAAGCCAGCTGACACTCGCCTCGAACGCCCCCCCATCTCTCTTATCATCCGCCACAGCGTACATCTCCTTGGCCTTAACTCGAATCATTTTGCGGGAAACTCTGAGGTTCCATCCACGCATGTGGTGAATCCACTGACACGGTTTAGCTTCCAGCTCCTCACTCACTTTCTTCCTCCCTCCACCTGACAAACGAGCACACTTGCCATCCGAGTCAGCCTGAAAAGTCATTTCACTTTTTTGTTTCTTCCATTCTCTAATGCTATTTAGATCCATGTGAAACTGTCTGGCCGCTCCTTCTCCGGAGTGCTGCTCGGCATATTTTACCACAGCTAGTTTGAACGTTAAATCAAATCCTCTTTTCTTCCTCACTCTTATGTCCACAATTTGATCAAACTCCTGGCCATTTTTTTCCAAATTCTCCACGACGCTCCCTTCATCCACCTGTCGTTCACTTTCATCCACCATGCTTCTTGTTACTCGTGCTGTTTCTGTTTGGGGCATGACAACTTGAGGCCCGTGACAGTGTTGTGCGGCCAAAATAGCAGATCTACACATTCACAACAAGTTTCTTTTTTTGTATTCTTTCACTGTGTTCACACTGGATACCAAATTCTTTGGTCACCAACTTTGCAACCAGGGAAGCTCAATGGCCTGTGAAGCAGAATTTCATTTATCACATTGAAATATTTTATTCAGTATAAGATGATAGCAAATATTGATGACTTTGTAACCTCTATCCTTCAGCCTTCAGCTGCTCACAGCTGGGTACATCTCTTGCAAAGTGTTTTCATATTTTTCAGAGCTCTTCAGTGTCAGTGATGCCATAAAAAGCTTTTCTTTATCCTCTGAATAATTTTATTCATTTTAGTATAGTCAAACCTTTGGCAGAAGTTGGCCATTTCACAGCCATGTTTGCCATAAAAAGGAAGGCTATCTCTGTGTTGAATAGGGCAGCAGTCGGCAGGTTTCATTGTTAGCCTTCAACCTGGATTTTTCTGTAGTTTTCATATTCGATTATAAAATGAAATGCATAAATACACGAAAAGGGCTATTATGTGCATCTTTTCTTGTTTCATAATAACCTACTTTCTCTGCAGTATACACATTATTGTCAGTGGCTATGCCTGAAACCTGTTGCTTGCTGTGCTTTATGCTGGATGGTCATTCCATCCCCAGCAGCACTGTTTCCTTCATCTTTCCCATCCACTGGGAGGCTTTATTCCCCTTTCAGTTATTCAGAATATCAAAGATGGAAAATATCTTGTTTCTACTCTGCAGCAAGGCTTTCTCTGTCCATTTGCTGGAGCAGAACCAGAACACTGGTGTGGTTTCCATTTTTGTCTGATGTTTTTGGCTAATACTTTCTAATCAAAGTCTATTAGTGTCATTGTAAGCTTCTTTTTATGCGTGCGTGTTGCGTAATGCATGCATTTAATGTGTCCCCCTGTGTGTTCTCTGACTGTGTGCACATCTGGGATTGTGATAGTCTGCGTTGTATTCCAAGTTTGTGAGAGTGTAACATGCCACTGCTCCCAGCCTCTCCTGAAGGGCCTCAACCATTTTCTTCATTTGTTTCAGTTTTTTGTTTCTTCTTCCTTTTCCCTGCTCTTCTCTTTTTTGCACTGATGAACACAACGTCTGGTTTAATATCATTTTCCAATCACTGAGGGCTGCGGGGCAAGGACTTTTGACTGAGCTATTTCGTTCCAGCTAATACCAAAGAGGGGAGAGAAAATAATAACCCTAGTGGTTGGTAATAGCTGCAGTGATCATTCTGCAGTCATTTGCCTCTGGTGCTTTGTATAGCTGCAGCTGATGTTGTCTTTGTATTGTTACTCCCCACAACACGCAGCTACACCCCTATTACAAGCTGTCCGATACCCTTCGTCTCCTCCATGTCCATCTGAGATATATTCAACACCATCTGGTTGTTTTTACACATGGAAAAACACAAAAAGGGGAGAGGTAGAGATATGTAGTCAGGAGAGAGACAGGAGCTAAAAATCCAGTGGATATGTACTTTTAAAGTCAAGGCTTGCCTGCTGTAATGCATGCTTTCTGAAGAGGTCCAGATCCTGGGGAAACTGATTGCACAAGAGCTTAGGGGAAAAGCTCTGGAGAGTTAAGATTCAGGGACATATGTTGTCTTCATCTTCACCCACCTCCCTCTCCCACCCATCCTTTTTTTTCTCTGCGAGAGAGGGAGGGAGTCAGACTGAGGAGGAAAAAGGGGAGGGAGGGAAAAATCATTATTAACTCATAAGCTGGTTAATGCTGTAGCACTCTCAACCTTCAGCTCATATGAGAATTTCCGTCATTTACATATCAATTTAATTTCCTGTGTTTCCCTCTCCTCTCCTCTCTCTCTCCCTCCTTCATTAAAAGCTGAATTTGCTTGCCCCTGCAATCAGCCTGTACAACACATTTTCCTGGATGGTGAGCACACACACACATGCTCACACACCTTACAAATGTGTGTGTACACACCTATAAACAGAAAAACACACATGAATACACATTCAAAAAAAGATTTAAAAAGTAACTGCAGAGTAAATGTAGAGATGCGCACACCTACATTCATTTTTTGCCACATTGTCGCGTTTGCATACACAGATGTGTAAGTAAACACATACACAAACACAGAGGGTGTGTGTGAGAGTTCAGGCAGGCAGAGCAGCTCAGTGGCCTGCTGTAGCTCTGTCAGGATTAAACCAGTGATCAGAGAAATGAAAGGGAAGCTGTCATTCCACATAGGCCCATGTGCACATCATCCTCAATAATTATACCCTCTCCTTCTTCTGCCTCGCTTCTTCCTCTTATAACCCCCTACCTGTGTGTGTGTTTGTGTGTGTGTCTGTGTGTGTGTGTGTGTGTGTGTGTGTGTGTGTGTGTGTGTGTGTGTGTGTGTGTGTGTGTGTGTGTGCGTGTGTGTGTGTGTGTGTGTGTGTGTGTCACAGAAGACACGCTTAACTAGCAACAAGCACATCAAATAGGGGCTTTCATGAAATGTGCCTGCTTGAATTACACCAACTTTAAACCTGACCCTTTTTTCCTCTTTGTGGCAGAAAACCACACTGGTGTATTTTTTGATTGTGTATGCGACATTTGTTTGTTAATGTTACATTCATATGTATGTGTGTGTGTTTGCATAAGCCTATTTAAGCACGCATGAGTGAGGGTCCGCCTATGAATCAATACAGATGTGGCTAGTTCTGCTTGGCCTACATCTGGCGGTTAGACTGAACCTGCAGGGGATATATCCAACTAATTGCTTCAATCTGCAGCCTCAAGCTTATGAATGTGATCAGATATTCAGTTCAAGCAAAGTGTTGCAAAGCAAGGCCCCAAGTGTAAAGTAAGTTTAAGGTCTGTCAATTTAAGCCAAAGCCATATGTGACCTTTGGTGTGAAAGTCAAGATGTACCAGATCTGGGCTGTCAAAGAGCGATCTCTTCCATTTTTTATGACTCTTTTTATTAAATTTCCATTTTCACTGGAATTACAGGAAATACATTTGGCTTATGGCAGGATTCTACTGGGACACATCTCAAAAGTGGTTTCATTCATGGAAGTGACATTGTTTTGCTCATCTCACAGTAATTTTTTTTTTTTAGTCAGAATTGTATTCTTTTTTGTGGTTTTGTAGTTTTTTTTTTAATAAATAGTACATGACATAAGACATGAGACCTCAGACAAATGAATTTCGCTTTGGGGATCAATCAATTTCTTGTATTGTATAAATTAATGCTGAATGTCCTGTTACCGGCACCTGTCCAGAAAAGGGGATTAATCTGGCTGATTGTAAGCACCATGACATGTTGGCATCATGTCAGCATGGGCCCAATTTCACCATCATGTTTTCTAAATGATAACACATCTTCCCCACGACTCATTAACAGCATATCAAATCCAGAACAGTCATTGAATAGTGCTTTGATATTGTTTTGTATTGTTATATTTAGTATTGATGGTTATATCTACTATGTTAAGCAAACCATAGCAGTCAGCTGTTATTCATTTCTGTTTGCATGTTGATGTGGAACTGCTGTCATCCTTAACATTGATGCTAGATGATCGACCCAAATTCTGCCCTTTATTTAAGATGATGATGAAGAAGTGCCTCAGCATACTCACAAACAACCACTGGAGGGTTTGTTAAATCCGCTGTGATATAGCTGTTTCACATGACCTGGATGATACATTTTCATTAAAAAACGGGACAACTGTACATACAGCATTCATTGGTGAGAAAAGCGCATTTCTTTCCTCTGCCTGCCATTGTCTATTTACATTTCTATTGCTATGCACTACATCACACGCCGCATTCGTCTTCGAATTGTTGGTCTGCAAAAATAGAAACAAATTAAATGGCTCTTCATCTATCAACACCAGGCTATGCCTTGATGGTACTCTTTGTTCAATAATTTACAAAAGACCCAACATTAAGGTGAGATAATACCCAATTTAACCGTATATCAGTGGTGAGGAAATCAGGAAAAAACCTCAAGCAGGACCAAACTCATGTTGAATTGACATCTGAGGTGACCGTGTTAATACTGGAAAGGGAGGGGAGTGTCATGATCCAGAGCTGTTTCCTTTGCTGCGTCCGAATTGCCCACTCACATACTACATACTACTGCTACATACTACTGCTAGATCCCTCTCCTACATACTAAACACGTTGGCCCAATTCGGACACACAAGACGAGCGGTGGGGAAAGACGACCCCCACAGGCAGAGAGTAGGTACTGTGCCCATGCAGACAGTTTTAGACTCTTTGAATGGTAATTGTGCAAGTGATGGATGCTGCTGTATTATATTCCTGCACTGCTTTAGAAATTCACAGAGTAGCTTTTCCATTACTTTTAGCCTTCAATTCACTCATGTGGTGATCGTTTGTTCAATGAGATCTGCCTGATTACTGCAGCTGTGCAGTTTAATGATGGAATAAGTGAGCTTTACCTCCATGATGTCGCCACATGTTTGCTCATAAAATGATTACTTGGGCAAATATGACACCATGACATGACAAAGAGATACAACCACACATTTTTTAGGACAGTGTGTGAAGTTACATGAAACTTACATCTGTACTGCTGCGGTCCTGCCTGCTGCTGCTGCTCCGCCATGGTGCACGCTGCTGTGGCCAGCTGGCATTCGCGACGCATCTAAGTAGGCAGCAGCCGGTGGCGCTAGCATCACAAGCGCTTCTACAACTTTTAAGAGGACGAAGAAGAAGCCCGCGGTGCAAATGCACCGCGACCATACTACAATGTGGCCGTGTCTAGTATCTGAAGTAGTATCTGAAGTAGCATGCTACTCGCTCCGGTGGCCAATTCGGACATGCTACATACTACTTCGACTACTACTTGGCAATTCGGAGCACTTGTGTTTTGGTTGTCTGTGTGCTCTCTCTCTTTCTCTTCCTGCAGCACTGGAGCATGGCAGGGGGCGGAGCTGGCTCGG